ATATGCTGGACAAAGGGATGATTCACTTCCTGGGTGGGACAGCATGAGATTTCATCATGCTACTCAGAACAGCACACAACTTAAAACTTATGAATTGTTTACTTCCAGAATTTTCCATTTAATATTTTTCGACCACAGTTGAGTGTGGGTAACTGCAACTGTGGATAAGGGGGGACTACTGTATCAGATTTCTCACCAGAAACCTTGGAGGTCAAAAGGCAGTAGTCTGATATATTCAAAGTGCTAAAAGAAAATAACTATCAACCAAAAATCCTATATCTGAAAAAACTCCTTCAAAAATGAGGGAGAAATTAAAACACTACCAGATAAACAACAGCTGAAGGAGACTGATACCATTAGAACCACCCTGTGAGAAGTGCTAAAGGGAGTTCTTCAGGTTCATTTCAGGTCCTGAAATGAAAGGACAATAGGAACTCAAAGCCATATAAAGAAATAAAGATCTCCAGTAAAGTTATACATGGGCAATTATAAAAGCTAGTATTATAACTGATTTGTAACTCCACTTTTTGTTTTCTACATAATTGAAGAGACTAATGTATAAAAATAGTTACTGGTGTATGTTTTCAGACATAAGGCTTAAAGATGTAATTTTGTGACATTAATAGCTGAAAGGGAGTGAGTACGGAGATATATAAGAGTAAAGTTTTTATATACTATTGAAGCTAAGCTGGTAAAAATTCAAATTAGAGTGTTATTACTTTAGGATGTTAAATGGAATCCCCATGGTAGCCACAAAGAAGTAGCCATAGGATATACACAAAAGTAAATGAGAAGAGAATTAAAATCTTTCATTACAAAAAAACAGCTAAATACAAAAGACAGAAAATGAGGTACAAAAAGCTATAAAGCATATAGGAAACAAACAGCAAAATGACAGAAGTCCCTCCCTGTCAATAATTAACTGTAAAAGGATTAAACTCCAATCAAAAGACAGACTGGTGAAATGGATTTAAAAACATGATCTAACTATATGCTGTCTACAAGAGACTGATTTCAGATCCAAAGACACAAATAGGTTAAAAGTAAAAAGATTGATAAAGATATTCCATGCAAATAGTAACCAAAAGAGAGCAGGGGTGGCTATCCTACTATCTGACAAAATAGACTTTAAATCCAAAAGGGTTACAAGAGACAAAGAAGGACATTATATATTAAAAGGTTTAATACATCAAAGATGTAACAGTTGTAAACATTTACCCATCTAATGACAGACCTTGAAAATATATTAAGCAAAACACAACATACCAAAACTTAGGAGATGCAATGAAAACAGTGCTAAGACAGAAATTTATAGCTATAAATGCTTACCTTAGAGGGAAAAAAATCTGAAATCAACATTCTAACCATACAACTTAAGGAACTAGAAAAAGAAGAAGGAACTAAACCCAAAGCTAGCAGAAAGAAGATTAGAGCTAAGCTAAGCAAAATAGAAGATAGAAAAACAACAGAAAATTTCAAACCAAAAGCTAGTTCTTTGAAAAGATTAATGAAGTAGACAGAGCTTTAGCTAGACCAGGAAAAAGAGAAGACTCCAGTTACTAAAAAGCAGAAATAAAAGTGGGAGTATTACTAATAATTCTATAGAAATAAAAAGGATTATAAGAGAGTATTATGAGCAGTGGTATGCCAACAAATTGGATAACCTAGATGAAACGGATATATTCCTAGAAACACAAAACCTTACCAAGAATGAGTCATGAAGAAATAAAAAATCTACATAGACCTATAACTAATAAAGGAGATTGAATCAGTGCTCAACAACCTCCCAACAAAGAAAAACCTTGCAACTGATAGCTTCACTGGTGAATTCTACCAAACATTTAAAGAAAAAATAACACCAGTCCTCAAAGTTTTCCAAAAAATTCAAGAAGAGGGAACACTTACTAACTCATTCCAAAAAGCCAGCATTGCTCTGATACCAAAGCCAGACAATGACAACATAAGGAAAAAAAAGCTACCGACCAGGGGCCGGCCCAATGGCATGGTGGTGAAGCCCCCATGCTCTGCTTCGGCAGCCCGGGGTTCGCAGGTTCGGATCGTGGGCGCAGACCTATGCACCACTTGTCGAGCCACGCTGTGGCAGGTGTCCCACATATAAAGTAGAAGAAGATGGGCACAGATGTTAGCCCAGGGCCAATCTTCCTCAGCAAAAAGAGGAGGATTGGCAACGGATGTTAGCTCAGGGCTAATCTTCCTCGCAAAAAAAAAAAAAAAGCTAAAAACCAATATCCCAGATGAATATTGATACAAAAAACATAAACTAAATATTAGCAAACTGAATTCAGCAGCATAATAAAAGTTTTATACACTTTGAACAAGTGGATTTATCCTTATTATGCAAGCATGGTTCAACAGATAAAAGTCAATCAATATAATATGCTACATTAACAGAATGAAGGGTGAAAACCCCACATGATGAATCGATGCAGAAAAAGAATGTGACAAAATTCAAGAGCCTTTTTTGGTAAAAACACTCAATACTAGGAATAGAAGGAAACTACTGCAACATAACAAAGGCCACATATGAAAATCTCACAGCTAACATCATAATCAATGGAGAAAGACTGAAAGCTTTTCCTCTAAGATCAGAAACAAGACAAGGATGCCAGCTTTTCTACTTCTATTCAATATAGTGTTGGAAGTTCTAGGCAAAGGAATTAGTCAAGAAAAAGATTGAAATTGGAAAGGAAGAAGTAAAATTATCTCTGTTAGCAGAGTACTTGATCTTATATGTAAAAAACATTAATGATCCCACACTCAAAAAACTGTTATGATAAACAAATTCAGCAAAGTTTAAGGCTACAAAAGCAATGTACAAAATCAGTTGCCTCTCCATACACTAATAATGAACAATCTGGAAAAGAAATTAAGATAATTCTCTTTACAATAGCATCAAAAACAATAAATACTTAGGAGTTAATGAAGGAGGTGAAACACTTGTACACAGAAAAGTATAAAATATTGCTGAAAGAAACTAAAGATGACACCAGTAAATGGAAAGACACCCCATTTTCATGGATTAGAGGACTTAATAGTTGTATGATGTCAATACTATCCAAAGTGATCTACAGAGTCAAGGTAATCCATTTCAAAATTTCAATGGCATTTTTTACAGAAATAGAAAAACACATCCTAAAATTCAGTGGAAAGTCTAGGGACTCCAAATAGCCAAAACAATCTTGAAAAAGAAGACCAAAGTTGGAAGGGTCACACTTCCTAATTTCAAAATTTACTACGAAGCCACAGTAATCAAAACACTGGTGGTACTGACATAAAAACAGACATAAAAACCAGTGGAACAGAATAAAGAATTGATCGAGAAATAAATCCTCACATATATGGTCAAATGCTTTTGGGGAAGTGTGCCAAGACCATTTAACGGGAAAAGGACAGTCTTTTCAACAAATGGTATTGGGAGAACTGGATATCTACATGCAAAAGAATCAAGTTGGACTCTTACCTAATACCATATACAAAAATTAACTCAAAATGGATCAAAGACCTAAATGTAAGACCTAAAACTATAAAACTCTTAAAAGAAAATGGGGGAAGCTTCAGGACATTGGATTTGGCAATGATTTCTTGGATATAACACCAAAGTCACAGGCATCAAAAGAAAAAGTAGACAAATCAGACTTCCATCAAAATTAAAAACTTATGCATCTAAGGACACTATCAACAGAGTAGATTAAAAAAATCCACAGAATGCAAGAAAATATTTTCAAATCACATATCTGATGAGGGATTAATATCCAGAATATACAAAGAGCTCCTAAAATGCAACAACAACAAAAGACAACTCGATTAAGAAATGGGAACAGGACTTGAATAGACAGGTATCCAAAGAAGACATACAGATGGCCAATAAGCACATGAAAAGATGCTCAACATCACTAATCATTAGAGAAATGCAAATCAAAACCACAATGAGATACCACTTCACACCCATTAGGATGGCTATTATAAAAAAACAAATAGAAAACAATACGTGTTGGTGAGGAGGTGGAGAAATTGTCTTGAAGAGGAAATGGTTCACAGGAGGGCTGTTTCATTCATTCGGTCAGTGCTGGCTCCTCTGCCTCAACTATTTACCAGCCCCAGACCTTTGGTGTTCAGAATACCCACTGTTCCAAACTACTCCACAACTGTTTATTTTCATGCTTCCTGAAAGTCGCTGTTGCTTTCTATCATGTTTCAGGGCAACTTCACAGTTGGAAAAAACTGGAGAAATTGTTCTGGCCTAATGAATTCTTCAATAATAAGATGAAAACCTCATATTCTGCAAAATCATACCCTAAAAATGAAAAGCCTTATGGGGAAAATAGGTTCAGAACTTTGTAATCTGAGCAGTAACAAAAACAAAAATTCTAAATTTTCCCTAGTATCTGCACTGAGAATAAGTCCATCTTTTGCAGCCTTAAACTTTTGGGGTTGTGTTTCTTCCTTTCAGATATAGAACCTTGCAATCAATCACTTCTAATAGAAACTGTTTTCATCAATATTAAACATGATCTAGAAGTAGCCTTCTTCATTAATCAATGCTTTTTTCTTAATCACCAAGTGAAATGTCTTCATAGCTTATCTGTACTTGCAGCTTCCCAGACAGCTTAACATAGTGAAAACTTGGGTGGTTTTTGAAGCCACTAAACCCACCACTCCTTGCACTTAAAGGATTTTTGTCTTTTTTTCTTAGGGTCTTCATTGCTAAGAGTTTCTCTTTAGTTATGAGAAAGTTTGCCTCGGATTCCTTCAACACATTAGCTTACTGGGGAAAATGTTTGAACCAATGCATCTTCTACATAGGACTGACATCATTCCTCTATTTACCATTCCCCTATTTACCAGTTACATATCAGCAAATAATATACGTTACAGAAACACACATACCTTGCAGCAGAACAGACTGTGTTTCATGGTATGACAACTTAAGTCTTTAATTTAGGGAAGAAAGAAGGATTAAATCTTTTAATTTCTTTTCCCTTATGGTGTTTCATTTTCTGCCTTTGTAACAAAGAAGCAATGATTTGGTTCACTTTGATATTTCCTCAATGTTCTCCATGACCTATGGAAAATAAGAATTAATATGTTTTCTCCATTTCAAATTTTTGTTTATATGCACACCCAGCAACACATCTCTCTTGCCTTATTCACATATATAAACCCACTCCTTCTGTGTGTGATATGAAGAGTTGCGGTGAACTAGCCTAGAACACCCCAACAAGCCAGCACTCTGCCCTACAATGCTCATCAGAACACAGAGGAGTCGTGTCAGGTCTCACATAAGTAAGTGTCCCTGTCTTTCCTCACTGCCTATTTTTTCTGTTACCCAAAGTTCTAAAAACCATGGTGATTTTTTTTAACATATTAGAAATGATAAGAGTGGGTAAGGGGAAAAGATTGCTAGAGTGAGTCACACTAACAGCAATGAGAAGTAATAACTGATGGCAAGAAAACAGAAGAAAGTGTCAAACACAAGGACTAAAAGAACCTGTGGCTGGCTAGGGCTATTTAGTGTAGGGGCAAAAACTCCCCCTAGAGCCAATGAGCCCTGAGGCTGTCACCCATATTTGTGGAAGTATAAGTGCAGTATGAAAAACATGGGTTGGGGGCTCGACTCACCTTGTCCTACCATATTCTAGATGTGTGATCTTGATCTTAACCTCTCTGAGCCTCAGTTTTCTCTTTTGTAGAGTGAGAATAATACCACCTGCCTCACAACAGGTGTTAAGACTTGTATGAGTTAATGTGTATGAAATATCGACCACAGTGCCTGGCACATAATAGGCACCTGACGTGCGTGAGTATATCATTACATTGCTTTCTTTCCATTTGAAGAGCTGTACTTTCAGAACTAGGGCATTATTGCAATAGGAGCGATACATACTTACAACCTAAATGTATGCTAGGATTTAGGCTGTGGGTTCACTTAACGAACAAATTGGAAAGATTGCCTAGGGAGGTCTATATTCTAGAGGCACACAAGGTGACATGAACAAACCTATCAGAGGGGAGCTGATAAACTGAATAAGACTTTAATGGTGTGGTGGCAAGGGGAGTTTCTTGGTGAAGATAGATTATTAATAATTTTTAAAACAGAGTGTACCATTATGCTGTGATTTTCATAATATAAATATGAGCTAATATGATTAAGCAAGTCCTAGTCCCCATAATCAATTTTATTGTCATGACACAGATCTTGTCATATGTGGTAAAAGGCATTTCTCTTGCTTTCCTTATAGTTATGGCCTCGCAATTATTGACTGAGATTGTTTGACCTTGAAAAAATAAGCAGTCAGTGAGCTAATTTTGTGAGCTATGCCCAATACCTTATCCAGATTTTTATCCTTTGTTTTGACATCTTTTTTCCCTCCATTAAAAAAAGTTGCAATTTGGGCTGCCCTGTGGCATAGCGGTTAAGTGCGCGCGCTCCGCTGCTGGCGGCCTGGGTTCGGATCCCGGGTGCACACCGACGCACCTCTTGTCAAGCCATGCTGTGGCAGCATCCTATATAAAGTGGAGGAAGATGGGCACGGATGTTATCCCAGGGCCAGTCTGCCTTAGCAAAAAGAGGAAGGATTGGCATGGATGTTAGCTCAAGGCTGATCATCCTCACACACAAAAAAAGCTGCAATTTAATACTTAAGTTCCAAAACTCTTTTCCCAATTAAACCAGAGTACCTCCACGTGGAAAGAGTTTAAGTACTTTCCATTTTATTACAAGTGAGTCTTTATAAACAGAAAGAGGTCAATTTGTTGTTGTTTTATGTGTGTCTGTTTTCTAAAAAATAATTGAGATTTTACCATCCCATTGAACATTCTGGAAAAAAAATCAAGAGGCAAGCCTTTTGAGGAGAGATGCCATTGGTGAATTATGTGCATAGGTACTTGGGCATTCAAAGCCTTATGGCAGTCGACCATTCCCACACTTTCCTGTCAGATTTGGCATTATTGGTGTTAATCTTTCCAGTTAACAGCATGATGAATAATAAATTTTCAGTTCCCTGAGAATTTCTTCACTGGTTATTTTACTATCAAGCACTTCACAAATGAATGTGGTTCCAGACATTATCATTACAAATATAGCAAAGATCAACAAACTTAAACTGTTAAAATACATGATTTCACTTAATTATAAAGTACAGAAACATATCTCAATCTCTTGATAACTCAAGATCACTTTTTGAGCATATTAAAATACACTATCCAATAGCATCATTTAATAATGGCATCTCTTTCAGTCTGACTTTTTATTGTGAAATATACATAACAAAAAAAAATTTACCACCCCCTTTTTTTTTGGTGAGGAAGATTGGCCCTGAGCTAACATATGTGTCAATCTTCCTCTATTTTGTCTGTGGGATGCCGCCACAGCATGGCTTGATGAGTGGTGTGCAGATCCGCACCTGGGATCCAAACCCATGAACCCTAGGCCACTGAAGCAGAGTGTGTGAACTTCATCACTACGCCACCAGACGGCCCCTAAAACTTACCATTTTAACCATTTTTAAGTGTACAGTTCAGTGGCATTTAGTACATCCATATTGTTGAGCAACCATTACCCCTATCCATCTCCAGAACTTTTTCATCATCCCATACTAAAACTCTGTACTCATTAAATAACAATTCCCCATTCTCCTACTCTCAGCATCTGGTAACCATCATCCTACTTTCTGTCTCTCTGAATTTGATTATTCTCGATATCTCAAAAAGTGGAATCATACAATACTTTTCTTTTGTGTTTGGCTTATTTCACTTAGCATAATGTCTTAAAGGTTCATCCACAGTTGAGCATGTATCAGAATTTCATGCCTTTTTAAGGCTAAATAATATTCCATTGTATGTATATACTACATTGTGTTTATCAGTTCCTTCATCAATGGACATCTGGGTGATTTCAACCTTTTGGCTATTGTGAATAATGCTCCTATGAACATTGGTGTACAAATATCTGAGTCCCTACTTTTCAGTTCTTTTGTGTATATACCCAGAAGTGGAATTGGTGGATCATACGGTAATTCTGTGTTTAATTTTTTGAGGCACTGACATACTGTTTTCCAGTGTGGCTGCACCATTTTACATTCCCACAACAATGCTCAAAAGTTCCAATTTCTCCACATCCTTGCAAACATTTGTTTTCTGTTTTGTTTTTTTTTTACAGTAGCCATCCTAATGGGTGTGAAGTGGTATCTCATTGTGGTTTCGATTTGTGTTTCCCTAATGATTAGTGATGTTGAACATCTTTTCATGTGCTTGTTGGCCATCCATATATCTTTGGAGAAATGTCTATTCCAGTCCTTTGCCCATTTTTAAATTGGGTTTTTATTTGTTGTTGCATTTTAGGAGTTCTTTGTATATTCTGGATATTAATCCCTTATCAGATACGTGATTTGTAAATATTTTCTCTCATTCTGTGGTTTGCCTTTTTACTTTGTTGATAGTGTCTTTTGATGCATAAAAGTTTTTAATTTTGATCAAGTCCAATTTATCTAATTTTTCTTTTGTTGCCTGTGCCTTTGGTGTCATATCTAAGAAATCATTGCCAAATCCAGTTTCATGAAGCTTTTCCCCTGTTTCCTTTGAGACTTGACAGTTTTAGTTCTTATGTTCAGGTCTTTGATCCATTTTGAGTTAATTTTTGTATATAGTGTAAGGTAAGGGTCCAACTTCATTCTTTTGCATGTAGATATCCAGTTTTTCCAGCACCATTTGGTGAAAAGCTGACTGGCTTTTTGAAACAACTTTACTGAGGTACAATTTACATCTTATAAATTCACCTTTTTAAAGTATACAATTCAACAAATTTTAGTGATTTACAGAGTTGTGCAACCATTAACACAATCCTCTTGTAGAATAATTGTATCACCCTAAGAAGATTTTTCATGACCATTTGCAGTCACTCCCCATTCCAACTTCCAACCCTCGGCAACCACTTTCACAATATCTTCAAGGTTCATCCATGTTGTAGCATCTACCTTAATATAAATGTAAGCATACAATTTGTGGTCTTTTGTGGCTGGTATCACTTAGCATAATGGAGATTTATCCATGTTATATAGCATTTATCAGTACTTTGTTCCTTTTTATAGCTGAATAGTACTCTACTTTATGGATATACCATATTTTGTTTATCTACTGACAAGTTGATGGACATTTGGATTATTTCTACTTTCTGGTTATTATTAATAATGCCACTATGAACATTCATGTTCAAGTCTTGAACATATGTTTTCATTTATTTTGGGTAGTTATCTAGGGATGGGATTGATGGGTGATATATTTAACTCTTTAAGAAACTGCCAAACTGTTTTCCAAAGTGGCTATACCATTTGAAGTTCCCATCAGCAATGTATTCTAGTTTCCCCACATTCTCACCACCAGTTGTTAACCTTTTGTTTCCACTATAGCAGTGTTAGGTGTTAAGTGGCATCTCAATGTGGTTTTAATTTCCATCTCCCTAATGACTAACGATGTCAAGTATCTTTCTGTGCATTTATTAGCCATTTTTATATTTTCTTTGGTAAAATGTCTATTTAAATATTTTACCCAAATCTTAACTGGGTTGTCTATTATTGAGTTGAAAGAATTCTTTATATATTCTAGATACAAATCATTAATTAGACTTATGATTTATAAGTATTTTCTCCCAGTTAGTGGCCTGTCTTTTCATTTTTATTATGGTGTCTTTTGAAGGACTAAAGTGTTTAATTTGGATGAAGTCCAAATTATCATTTTTTTCTTTTATCATATACACTTTTCATATCATAGCTAAAAATCTTTGCTTAATCCAATGTCACAAAGACTTTCTCCTAAGTTTTCTTCTAAGAGTTTTATAGTTTTAGCTCTTATATTTAGATCCATTTTGAGTTATTTTTGGGTATGGTAAGGGTCTAAATTCAACTTTTTGCATGTGGATATCCAACTGTCCCAGCATCATTTGTTGAAAAGACTATCCTTTCCAAGCTGAATTGCCTTGGCCCCTTTGGTGAAAATCAGTTGTGGGTTTATTGCTAGACACATATGTTTATCTTGATGCCAGTACCAGAGTGTCTTGATTACTGTAGCCTTATAGTAAGATGTGAAGTCAGAAACTATGAAGCCTCCCACTTTGCTCTTTTTAAAAATTGTTTTCACTATTCTCACTATTCTAGGTCCTTCACATTTCCATAGAAATTTTAGAACTAGCTTGTCAATTTAAAAAAAAAAACACCTGCTAGGATTTTGATTGGGATAGTTGCACCTTTAGGTCAATTTGAGGAGAACTGACATCTTAACAATATTGAGTTTTACAAACCTGAACACAGCATATCACTCCATTTATTTAGCCCTTCCTTTCATTTCTCTCAGCAATATTTTATAGTTGTCAGCACATAAGCCTTTCACATCTTTTGTCAAATATTTTATCTGTCCCCTCTTGTCTCTTATCTCCTTCAGAGAGTCCAATTAACCCTATATTATGCCACCTGAAGTTGCTGCATAGCATCACATAATGCTCTTTGCATTAAAAAGAAAATTGTTTTTTTTGTAGTTTCTATTGCTGTATCTTCAAGTTCACCAATCTTTTCTTTTATGGTGTGTAATCTAATGTTAATACCATCCAGTGTTTTTCATCTCACACACTAATTTTCATCTTTGGAAGTTCAATTGGATTCTTTTATTTTTAACATACATATCTTTCATGTCTCAACTTTTGAATACATGGGATACATTTATAATAATTGTTTAATGTGCTTGCCTGACAATTCTAAGATTTGTAAGAGTTTTGGATCAGTTTCCATTTATTAATTTTTCTCATTATTTCAATACATTTCCTGCTGCTTTACAAGTTGCTAATTTTCTTTTTAATTTACCCTTGACTTTATTTATTTTTAATAAAAATTGAATATATTTAAAGTATACAACATGATGTTTAGTATACAACATGATTAAATACAACATGATTAAAGTATACAACATGATATAGAGATACATAGGAAAATGATTACTGTAGTCAAATATCCATCTCCTCACATAGTTACCATTTTATTTTTTTGTGGTAAGATCACCTGAAATCTATACTTTAGCAAATTTCCAATATACAGTAAAGTATTAACTACAGTCACCTTGTACATTAGATTTCTCAACTTATTCATCCTACATAACTGAAATTTGGACCCTTTGACCAACATCTCTCCATTTCCCCCACCTCCTCACCCCTAAACCTCCATTCTTCTACTCTCTGCTCCTGTGCAACTTTTTGTAGATTTCACATATAAGTGAGACCATGCAGTATTTTTCTTTCTGCATCTGGCTTATTTCACTTAGCACAATGTCCTCCAGGTCCATCCATGTTGTCACAAATGGCAGGACATCCCTTTTTAAAGGCTGAATAATATTCCATTGTGTGTGTGTGTGTGTGTGTGTGTGTGTGTGTGTGTACCATCATTTCTTTATCCATTCATCCATTGATGGACACTTAGGTTATTTTCATATCTTGACTATTGTGAATAATGCTGCAATGAACATGGGAGCACAGCGATCACTTTGAAGTGATTTTATTTCCTTTGGTTATATACCCAGAAGAGGGATTGGTAGTCCTATTTTTAATTTTTTGAGGAACTCCATAATGTTTTCCATAATGGCTGAACCAATCTACAGTCCCACTAATAGTATACAAGGGTTCCCTTTTTTCCATGTCCTCACCAAAACTTGTTATCTTTTATCTTTTTTGTAATAGCCATCCTAACAGGCATGAGGTAATATCTCATGATTTTGATTTGCATTTCCCTGATGATTAGTGATATTGAGCACCTTTCATATACCTGTTGGCCATTTGTATGTTAAAAAAAAAAACAAACCCACTTGTTATTAACACCTAAGAAATCCTACACTAAAAATCCTATGTTTGACTACTTCATAAAATAGTTATTTTAATATTTCATGTATCTAGAATTATAGGGGCAAAAGGGTATTCTACATACATTTTCCTGAGAATTGAAGGAGAAAATGGGCTTAGAATGTTGGAGGGGCCCATTTTTAAATTGGTTTGGTTGGTTTTTTGCTATTGAGTTGTACAAGTTCCTTAGATATTTTGAGTTTTAACCCCTTATCCAATATATGGTTTGCAAATATTTTCTCCCGTTCTTTAGGTTGTGTTCTCATTTTGTTGACTGTCTCCTTTGCTGTGCAGAAGCTTTTTAATTTGATGTAGTGCCTCTTATTTATTTTTGCTTTTGTTGCCTGAGCTTTTGGTGTCATACTCAAAAAAATCATTGCCAAGGCCAATGCCAAGGAGCTTTTTCCCTGTGTTTTCTTCTAGGAGTTTTACAGTTTCAGGTCTTATATTTAAGTCTCTAATCCATTTTGAGTTTATATTTGTGTATGGTGTGATATAGTGGTCCAATTTTCATTCTTTTGTACGTGGATATCCAGTTTTCCCAACGCCATTTCTTTTTTTTTTTTTTTTTTGAGAAAGATCAGCCCTGAGCTAACATCTGCCAATCCTCCTCTTTTTTGCTGAGGAAGACCGGCTGTGGGCTAACATCTATGCCATCTTCCTCCACTTTTTATATGGGACACCGCCACAGCATGGCTTGCCAAGTGGTGTGTCGGTGTGCGCCTGGGATCCGAACCGGCGAACCCTGGGCAGCTGAAGTGGAGCGTGCACTTAACCACTTGCGCCACCGGGCCAGCCCCCCAACACCATTTCTTGAAGAGACTATCTTTTATGTATTCTTAGCACCTTTGTCAAAAATTCATTGATTGTACATGTTTGGGTTTATTTCTGGGCTCTCAATTCTATTCATTGGTGTGTGTGTCTGTTTTTATGCCATTACCACACTGTTTTGATTACTATAGCTTTGTAATATAATTTGAAATTGGGAAGTGTGATGCCTCCAATTTTCCTCATCTTTATCAAGATTTGTTTTGGCTATTTAGGGTCTTTTGCAGTCCCATACAAATTTTAGGACTGTTTTTTCTATTTATGTGAAAAATGCCATTGGAATTGTGATAGTAATTGTGTTGAACCTGTATATTGTTCCGGGCAGTATGGACATTTTAACAAGATTAATTCTTCCAATCCATGAACTTGGAATATCTTTCCACTTTTTGTGTCTTCTTTCATTTCTTCCCTCAGTATTTTACAGTTTTCAGTGTACAGATCTTTCACCTCGTTGGTTAAACTTATTCCTAAGTATTTTATTCATTTTGATGCTATCATAAATAGGATTGTTTTCTTGATTTCCTTTTCGGATAGATCATTGTTGGTGTAAAGAAAAGCAACCAATTTTTATATGCTGATTTTTGTATCCAGCAACTTTACTGAATTCATTTATTACTTCTAACAGTTTTTTAATGAAGTGTTTGGGTTTTCTACATATAGGATCATGTCGTCTGCAAACAGAGGTAATTTAACTTCTTCTTTTCTAATTTGGATGCTTTTTGTTTTTTGTCTGATTGCTCTTGCTAGTACTTCCAGAACTACATTGAACAGAACTGGTAAGAGTGAGCATCCTTGCTTTGCACTGAATCTTAGAGGAAAAGCTTTCAGTTTTTCCCCACTGACAATGATGTTAGCTGTGGGATTTTCATAAATGGCCTTTATTGTATTGAGGGAATTTCTTTTTATACTTATTTGAGAGTTTTTATCATGAACGGATGTTGAACTTTGTCAAATGCTTTTTCTGCATCTACGGAGATGATCATGTAGTTTTTATCTTTGATTCTGTTAATGTGGTATATCATATTGATAGATTTGCATATGTTAAACCAACAAGTTGGTAATTTTTGATTGGATGTGCAACATGTGAATTTTACTTGGGTAGTGGAATTTTTTTATATTACTGAGCTTTGATTTGGGATGTAGTTCTTTGGAAACAATTTGATTCTTTCAGTTCTTGCTTTTAAGATTTGTTAGGCAAGACTGGAGCAGTGCTCAGTCTAGGGCTAATTATTCCCCACTACTGGGGAAACACTCTTTTGTGTACTCTACCAATGTTTCAAGAATAATTAGGTTTTTTTAGTCTTATTCTTGGGAACAGGCACTTTTCCTGGCCCTCTGTGAGTACTGGGTACTTCCTTTCAGGTGATTCTTTTCTTAACTCAAGTATTTTCCTACTAGATATGTGTTGATTATTATTCAACTGAATACTTGAACTGAAGATCTCTGGGATTCTCTCTGTATGCAGCTCCTTCCCAGTACTCTGTGCAGTGAACTATAGCCACCCTGATCTTTCTGGATTTTCAGCTTCATCTTCTCAACTGAAGGAGTCTGCCAAGCTCAGCCCATGTTCCCCCATCCTGTGCGAAAGCCTGGAAATTCTCTCAAGACAATAATCTGAGGCAATCATTGGCTCACCTCGTCTGTTTCCCATCTCTCAGGGATCACAATCCTTTGTTTCCCAATGTCCAATGTCTTGAAAACCATTGCTTCATGTATTATGTCCATTTTTAATTGTTTCAAGTAGGAGGTAAATCCAGTCCCTGTTACTCCATCTTGGCCAGAAGCAGAAGTCTCAAGATACTCTTAAAACATTAATTGGTCTACAAGTTTCCCAAAGATTTGCCTATCCATACAGGTAAAAGTTCTCCCCTTCCCTATATACCAGCCCACTTCAAATTACTTCTGGAGAAACCAGTCCCTTCTATTGTGTAACACATTATGGCTAACAACATAATTTCACATAGTGAGATAACATGGTTTTCTTTGGGGGGAAAAAATGACTTGTGTCAAACTGCTAATGAGAAATTCATCTTCAGGTGAAAAAGGGTGCTTAGTTCAAAACCCACAGAAAAATCCTAAGGGTCAACCTTTTTTGGATAGATCCAAATCCTTACATGTAACAACAACAATCTCATCTAGGGCTTTAAAATAAGCATTTCATTTTGAATTTACTCACTGTGGTGGGCACTGGTACTGTTTGTCTCTACCAGGTTGATATCATACTGGACTGCATTGGCTCTCTGAAGGTGGCCCTTCCTGACAGGAAAGAGGAAAGAAACACACAAATGGAAAACGGGTAGCAGAAAATGAGAAAGAAAATTTAAACTTGAAGATTTAGAGGTTCATTTTCTTCCCCACAACCACCTGCAATCGCCAGGGCTGCCCTAAAACTGTGCCCCCATTATTTAAAAAATTTATCAGGGTAGGCAGATCATCTGTGGGGACTTTAGATACTGATAATACCACTTAGTATTTTTCCTTTAAGGCAGCAGAGCTGTTGTATTTTAGTGTAGTTTTTGTGCCCTTTTTAAAGAGGTTAGTCTTCATTACTAGTTGGGACCCTTATGTGACATGGGGTGGCTTTAGTCAACTATTCTATTAATGACATTTAAAAAATTCATTTTGTACCTTTTTAAGGTTGCAGTTCATCAATCTTTTTTGTCATCTGGTCAATTAATATAGGTTAGACTTGTATTCAGGTGATCATGACAGAGTTTTTAAAAAACGTTTAATATTAAATAAGATTTTTGGAATGTCCACTTTAATTTTTTTCAGTATGTCAGTGCCTAGAGTATTACCTTATGTTAATGAAATGAATTCAAAATCACTTTTATCATAGCAAAATAAAGTGTGTTTTTTCAAAATACACTGGTTCCTCCTCATGAAACACTATTGATTTTAGTCTAGATTTCAGCATTATTGGGGTATCATTTTGGACCTCATTCAAAGATGGCACTGATTAGTTACTAAATTTCAAAAGGCCCTCGGCTTAGAGCAATTTCATTGAGGGACCCAAAAACTATTATATTAACAGTGACTTGGTTTCATTCTTGAAAGCACCACATTTCTGATAGACAAATATATTTCACTTGGACAGTATATAAAAGCCAAATCTTATGTCTAGATTCTATAAGCAATAGCCATTTTTCAAATTAATCCTGCTCTTGGCATTAAGACAGATGCCTCTGCCCATATCATCAGATAAAAATGCCTCTGCTTGCGTTGTCATTTAAAAATGGAAAATATACAGTTTCAAACATATTGCAATCCTATCTGGAAATTATTCAAAGATATTATTTTTGTGAGACTGTTAAGGATGCTCTTTTTCTCATTGATTAAATTTACGTTCATTTTCTAAATGTTTTAAAATAAAACTTTAACTTTGTAATTGGCAAAAAGTTTATTTTATTTTTAAATAAAGCATACATATAAAAAGAGTGGATAAAAACATTTACATATAGCTTAAAAATCAGTAATAGACTCTTATACACATAACACAAGATTAGAAATAGGCCATTAACACATCCCAGAAGCCCCATTCTGCGCCTTCGTTGATTGCTTCCCTCTTTCTCCCCACCAGGGGTAAGCCCTATTCTGTATTTTGTGCTAATCAGGCTCTTCCTTCTCTCTATACTTTTACCACTTATATATATGACCCTAAACAACACATTATTTAGTTTTGTCTAGTTTTAAACTTTACATGAATGGAATCATATTGTTATGTTTTCTTATGTGACTTGCTTCATTTAAAACTGTTTCTAAGATTCATCCAGGTTGATGTGTGTACCTAGTTCATTTCTGCTTTTCTAGATTATTCTTTAATATGAACATATCATAACTTATTTGTCCATTTTACTGTTGATGGGAACTTGGGTAATTTCCAGTTTTTTGCTATTATGAACATTTCTACTATAAACTCCTGGTATACATGTGTGAGAGTTTCTGTAAGGTATATATCCAGAAGTGAAACTGCTGAGTTGTAGAGCATGCACTTGTTTAACTTTACAAGGTAGTTGCAAACTGATTCAGAAATGTTCAGGGGCCGGCCTCATGGTCTAGTGGTTAAGTTTGGTGCGCTCTGCTTCAGCGACCCGAGTTTGGTTCCTGGGCACAGACCTACACCACTCGTCGGCAGCCATGCTATGGCGGCAACCCACACACGAAATAAAGGAAGGTTGGCACAGATGTTAGCTCAGGGTGAATCTTCCTCAACAACAACAAAAAGTATTCAAAAACTGTTTCACATTTGATATTGTTTGGGCTTTTTTTTTTTTTTAATTTTTGCCAATCTCATGAGTGAGATAATGGTATCACATTGTGGGTTGAATTTGCATTTCCCTAATATGATTGAGCATATTTTCATATGTTTAGTTTATGGAACTTGCATCGTCATCTTCTATAAATTTAATCATTTTTCCCATTCGTCTACAGGTTTACCTTTTTCTTAATCATTTATAGGATTTGTTGATATATTCAAGACATAGATATACATGTGTGTCCATTTTCACATGTTGCAAATATCTTCTTGTACTTTGTAGCTTGGCTTTTTTTTAAAGTGGTGTCTCTTGATAACTAGAAATCTTCAATTTAATATAGTCAAATTTATCAGCCATTTGTTTTATGATTTGTACTTCCTGAATTTTGTTTCAGAAATCTATCCTTACCCCCAAGGGCACAAAGGCATTCTTTAAATGTTCTGAGAGTTTTCATTTTGCATTTCACATTTAGGTCTTTAAATCTACCTGTACCGATTTTGAGGTATGCTTTGAAGCAAAGATCCAACTTTACTCTCTTCCATGTGGATAAACAATAATGCCAACACCATTTATTGAAAAGTCCATTATTTCCCCACTGCTCTGCAGTACCACTTCTGTTATATATCAACTGTCCACATATGCTGCTTGCTACAGGCTTTTTGTAGATACCCCTTTTTCTTCCTAGTTTGATTAGAGTTTTTATTAAGAAAGTTAAAAGATTTTTCTTCTTTAATATATAAACTAGATGAAATATATCAGTTAATATTTTAATTTTATAACTTTGCATTCCTGGAATAAACCCAAGATCATGATTTTTTAAAATACATTGTTGGATTTGGTTTGCTAATCTTCAATCTTTTACATCTAGGTTAAATGAATAAAATTGGCCCATAATTTTCTAGTTCACATTGTGATAGTTAATTTTACAAGTCAATTGGGCTGGGCCACAGTGCCCAGATATCTGGTCAAACATTACTCTGGATGTTTCTATAAGGGTGTTTTTGGGATGAGAGTAATCTTTAAATCTGTAGACTTTGAGTGAAGCAGATAGCCTTCCATGATGTGGATGGGCCTCATCCAATCAGTCTAAAACCTTAATAGAACAAAGACTGACCTCCCTTGAGCAAGAAGAAATTCTATCAGCAGACAGCCTTCAGACTTGAACTGCAACACTGACTCTTTCCTGAGTCTCCAGTCGGCCAGCCCACCCTGCATATTTTGGACTTGCCAGCCTCCATAATTGCATGAGCCAATTCCTTAAAATAAATCTCTCTCCACATCTCACTGGTTCTATTTCTCTGCAGAATGCTGACTAATATACATACTGTCTATTATAGATTAAATTGTGTCCCTCCAAAATTCATAAGTTGAAGGCCTAACCTCCAATGTGACTATATTTGGAGAAAGTACTTTTAGGGAGATAATTAAGGTTAAATGGGGTCAGAAAGTGGAGCCCTAAACTGAAAGGAGTGGTGTCCTTGTAAGAAGAGAAAGAGACACAGAGATCTCTCTGTCTCTGTGCATGCACAGAGAAGGGGCCACATGAGGCATAGCAAGGAGGGAGCCAACTACAAGCCAGGAAGAGAGGCCTCACCAGAAACTAACCCTGCCAGCACCTTGATCTTGGACTTCCAGCCTCCAGAACGATAAAAAAATAAACTTCTGTTGTTTAAGCACAGTCTTACTGACTTTTATATTTCTTATAAATTTCTGAGAGTCATACATTAAAATTTAACTATGATGATGGCTTTGCCTATTTCTCCTTTATATTTCAATTTTTATTTTTTGAGATTTTGCTAATAAGTGCATACACATTTAAAATTGTTAAATCTCCCTGATGTACTAAATCTTTTACCATAAAATTTATTTTGTCTGATATTTATGACTGTTTCACTTCTAAACTTTTTGTATCCTTATGTTTTAGAATTTAGATTTTAAAATATATATATTATGACTGTCTTTGTCTTTTACCTTGAATCTTTAGTACAATTATATTTAATACAATTACTGACATAGTTAGATTTAAATCTACCATGTTATGTCATGCTTTCTATTTATCCTTTTCTTCTTTCTTTGTTTTTAACTGATTATTTTTTATTCCATTTTTGTTCTTCCTCTAATTTGGAAATTATGTGCTTTAATTTTTTTCTTTGTTACCCTAGACATTTTAATATTCATTTTTAACATATCAAGGTCTTATATTAACCTATATATTTATCTTCTTCTCATTCAAAGACCTTAGCACACATTAATTACAATCCTTTCAACTTATTTGCTATTGCCATCATGGATTTTAATTCCTCTTTTCAAAGACATAGGACAGTGTCACTGTTAAAGTTCATACAATATTTGTTTTGATTTATTCACACAATGGCCTCCTCTGTTCTTTCTTCTTTCTTGCATCTCATATATGCCATATAGGATCAATTTCCTTCTGCTTTAAATACATCTGAGGGCAAACTCTCTCAAGTTTTGCTTATCTAAAAATATCTTCATTTTACTCTCATTCTTGAAAGATGTTTTCACTGATACAGAAATTTGGGGTTGACGATTATTTCCAGTTAACATGAAAATATCATTGCTCTGTCTTCTGTTTTTGCTTCTTTCCTTTTGAGAAGTCAGCTGTCAGTTTAACTGTTGCATCTCTGAAGATACTCTGTCACTCTTTTCTAACATTTTTGCAATTCTCTCTTTGAGACTGATGTTCTACAATTTTACTTGGTTGTACCCATATATAAATTTATTTTTTATTTATTCTGCTTGAAATTTGCTAGACTTCTAGAATCTGTGGATGACTTTCATCAGTTCTGAAAAGGTCTTGGCCATTGCCTTTTCAAATACTGCCTCTGCCCCATTCTCTCTCTTCTTCTGGAACTCCAGCTAACATATGTCAGACACTCACTCTCTATTTTTCTCCATTTTCCATTTCTCCAGTTTCTCCATTTTTCTTGACTTGTCTTTAATATTTTCCATTTCTTTTTCTCTCAGGATTATCTTCTGGGTAATTTCTTCTTATCTATCTTCCAATTCATTAATTCTGTATTTTGTTGTGTCTAATCTGCTGTGTAAAACATACTATGCTAAAAAAATTTTATTAGGGGCCGGCCCGGTGGCATAGGCAGTTAAGCATGGGCGCTCCGCTGTGGCGGCCCGGGGTTCGCTGGTTCAGATCCCAGGCGCACACCGACGCACCACTTGGCAAGCCATGCTGTGGCGGCATCCCATATAAAGTGGAGGAAGATGGGCACGGGTGTTAGCCCAGGGCCAGTCTTCCTCAGCAAAAAAAAAAAAAAAAAAAAGGAGGATTGGCAGATGTTAGCACAGGGCTGATCTTACACAAACAAAAAAAATTTATTGAACTAAAACATATACTGATATTTTAAAAATTATAATTAAATTATAATTTAATTCCATTTTGGTCTTTATGAAATCTGCTTATTTACAAGCCTCTCATTTATTTTTTGATATATATTAAACATGCATATTTTATGTTATATTTCTGATTCTTTCAATAAATAAAGATTTTTAATATCTGATTCTACTATCAGTTGTTTCTGTGGGTTCTAATTCATGGTGCCTTTTTTTCTTGCATGTTTGGCAATATTTTTATACTGTAAGATGCTTTTTAAGGTAAAGGATGAAAGTGGGTTCTTTAAGAATTAATTTGTATTTGCTTCTGTCAACCACCAGGGGGCACTACCAATCCAGATTATTTTCCATTATTAGCTTTTCCCCCCTCAGACGTTCAGATTGCGAATTCAGGACGCAAACCCACATGATATTTGTGATTGGAGGTTTCTTTTGTCCTTTCATTCAACACCACCTCTTATTTTTATATATTCTTTTCCTTCTCTTTTCCCTATCCTTTCTACCAAAAAGGTATTGTTTAGTCTGCTATAGAGTACTTCAGACTAGAAATATTGCTAAATTCTGGCTCAAGCCTGCAGAGCTACTGTGTCTCTTCTGAAACTTAGAAGTTCTCTTCTGAAACTTAGAATTTCTCTTCTGAAACTTTGTTGCTCAGTGGCATTGAGCACCTGTGAGGTACAACATACCATGCCCTTCACAAACTCATTGGGTTGGCAAAGGAGTTTTATTTTTGGACAACTACAGCAATATTAAAGTTCTATGGATAAAAAAAATCACTCAACAATTCCCTGTCGAATGATTATTAAATTTCCTAATAAATCCTTTGGTCATTATGTTAGACTTGTATTTCTAGCTCTCTACCTTACAGGCATATGGTAGAATTGCATTTCCTGACACCCCTTGTAATTGAGTGGGACCATGGAACTCATTCTGGCCAATGAATTGAGGCCAGACAGATTATTTCAATTCAAGTATGAAACCTCCAGAGCTTTCTTTTCCCTCTGGCATAGCAACCAATAGCATTCAAGATGGTAGCTGCTCCATCAGCTTAAGACTTTAAGTGACTATGATTAGCAAACCATAATAATTACACACAATGAATGGGAAATAGTCTTTTATTTTTTTAAGCCACTAAACTGTTAGGGTTGATAGTTACTGTAACCAAATCTAGCCTACACTGCCTGACATTGCAAAAAATATTTATTATCCAATCAATAACAGATGAAAAGGCTATATTTCCAACCAGAGTGATTAATAAGGGAATTAGTGAGTTGGTCTTCTCCTTAGCACATTAGACCAACAAAAATGTTTAGAAGGATATAATAAATTATTATTCAGCTTTTTTCCAAACATTATTTAAAGTCAAGAGTAAACCTAATTCCAAACATGGGTGTTCTGGTTATCCACTACTATGTAACAAATCAACTCAAACTTAGTGGATTAAAACAATTTATCTCTTATGGCTCTCAGGTTGACAGCTGGGCATTATTTGCTTGGGGTCTCTGTGATCACAGTTAACTGGCAGCTAAGTCTAGAGTCAACTAAAGGTTCAACTGAGTTGGACGTCTGGGATGGCTCATTCAAATGGCTGGTAGTTGACACTGGCTGTTGGCTGGGAGCTCAGCTGAGGCTGGTTCTTTGTGCTGTTTAGGCTTCTTACAACATGGTGGCTGATTCTGCCAGAGAGCATCCCAAGTATGAGTGGCGGGAAGTGGAAGCTGCCAGGTCATTTAAAGGCTACTGGAACAGCATGATTTCCACGTATGCTATGGTCAAAGCATACCTGCCCAGATTCAAAAATTTAGAGAAATAAACTCTACCTCGTGATGTAAGAGTGGCAAGGTCACATTGCAGAAGAGCATGTGGGAATGAGAGAGATTGTGGCTATCTTTGGGAAATACAGTCTGATACAATGGGCTTGTATTTGAATTTTTGTATCTGAAGTAGTCAGATGTTAAAATTATGGGAAATAAAACATATTAGATTGCTTAAATGATATATTTTGGGACAAAATATATAATACCACACATTTTAAAAGAGCAGTCTCTCTCCAATTTTTAATTACTCCATGGTGTAAAGTAATTCAGAAGTGAGGATTTTATGAAATACAATTTTACATGTGTTACCTCTCGTAGAATATAAACTTCTCAAGCCCACTTGCATCTCTTTTATGATCATCTTCAGTTCCATTTTCCATTTTCACAAGTAGCTATGATAGCATACAGTGTGCATTTAATAAATATTAATGATGAGAGTTATGATACCAGGTAACTTCTAAACTTAATAAATTACATATTCACTTATTTTCACTAAATTTCAAAAAAAGCTGAAGACCAAAACTAATGAATGAAAGTAATTTTCAGTGCATAGCATCGCTTCATATGAATAATTTTTCTGTCTTTCTTTTGAGTTACTAGTCGCCCCAAATTAACTGCCTACTTATTTGTCTATCTCTCCAAGTTGATTTAAATCTCTATGAAGTTAGGAGACGTGTCTATCTTGTTCACTATTGTATTCTTTATGCTTAGCACAATGCATAGCACATAGTAGGCACTAAATAATGAATTGACCCCAGATTTTAACCATATGTCTTAAATTTATATTTACAGTGTTGCATAAGTTGTTTCTTTTCTTTCACATTCAAAATTTAAGTAGACCTAGCCTAAATATTTAGGTGTTTGGGGATTGATTACTTTAGTGAATGTGGGTCTACCTTACTAGTTAGAGAAGTCAAAGTAAATAATGATGATGACAGTAACAAAGAACAGAGACTGCTAAAGATCCTTTCAAAAATGACTTATTAATTTAATAACAGCAACTATATTAGAGAGAGAACTCTAAACAGAAAACACTATCCAGAAATATATTTAGAACTAAAGGGCATATTAATCATTTAGTAGAATAACTACTTTATGCATTATTTTCTCTTTTTGAAAGCATGTTTCTATTTTGGTTACCTGCAAAGGAAGTAGAGGGCTCCAATGATAAGAGTTCCTAGAAGAACAGCCAATGCCACGAAAGCTGCAAACAGGTCACTTTTTGTTTGGATGTTAGAGCTTGGGAGAAAAATCTCTTCACAACGAGCTCCTGTATAATTTTCAATGCATCTACAGAATAAAATTTTAGATAAAGAATTGCATTCTCTGTTCCATTAACTAATATAGAAAGCAAATGGTTTTCAGCTGGTATGAAGAAAAAAGGAGACTAATTTTCAGATTTTCAACATAGAATAGGCATGCTTTCCTATAATGCTCACAGAGCTACAGTTACAATGAAACAAATTAGCATATGCAGTCTAATCTTTGCTATCTTCCTTTTCTAGTTTTTTAACTGCTTAGAAAATCCAGAGATATTATAGAATAGTCAGTCCTTTTATCTTCTCGATTTTCAATGATGTAATTATCCACACAACTCAAATTTATCTGAAATTTATTTTGTTATATCTGGTGTAGATGTGGGTCTAAAAGTATTTTTCCTCAATATTGCTAATTGGTTATTCCAACCCCATTTATTAAATAATCATTCCCTTTCCTACTGTTTAACAGTGCCTCCTTTAACATATGTCAATTTGTATAAATAACAGCATTTCTTTCTATTCTTCTTCAATGATCTACGCATCTAATCTTGGGCTTTTACCATACTGCTTCAATACTGTTGCTTTATAATACGTTTTAATATCTGGTAGTTCTACTCTCTACTTTATTACTTTCCTTTTCTAGAATATTTTTTGATATCTTCATTTGCCCACCAAATATTTTAAAGCCAATTACTTTCAGCTCTTTAAAACTATATGACAAAGAACCATAATCTTTGGTACTACCAATCAGTTCCTTTTTCCCTGTTAATATGTTCAAAGGATTATAAAACATAGAGATTGATATGAATTAATGAGAATGACACTGTTTGGCACCAGACCAATCTCATTATTTCATAATTGCAGTTGAAATAAAGAATAGTATTTTAATATACACTACTGTTTATAAAGCAACCCAAGAAGTTATGGAGTAAACTACATTTAGTAATAATTCTGTGTAAAAAAGTATATATATTCTTTAAGCTGGTGTTACCCAAAATAAAAACATTGACTCTACTAATTCTCCTCCTCACCTCTTTCCAGCTTAGGAAGTATTTAGAAATTTTATCTCCTTTTCTCTCACCTTAGACGAACAAGGATATAGGCCTAGAAAGTTACATGTGAACTAATTACTAACAAAGCTTTGACAACTAATGTGATAGGCTAATAAAGCAGTATACAAATTAAAAGAGAAAAGAACATAAAGATATAGCACAAGGAATCAATTTTACTTAAAGGAGCATATGAAAGATGTTCTATGAACCTCAAGCCCTACCCATTGTGAGTCAGTGGTGTTACTGGTTATAGCTTCCACTAGGGGTGTCAGTGTGAGCAAAGAAGCAGTCTCGATTCTCTCAATCTACTGTAAAGATGGAGTTGAGGAGACAGAAAGGAAAAGTAAGCATAGAATATGACTAGCAAACTTAAATGGAAGTAAAAATATTTGGGGAAAACATAATTACCTAAAGTCTAAATAATCTTTCCCATAGATTAAGTCAATTAAATAAGTATGAAAAGAAAAAAGATTAAATGAAAATAATTACTTTCTTTCTCCTCGATGTCCACATCCCAATTCCCAAAAGGGGGATAAATACACACACACACACACACACACACACACACACACACACACACAGATGCCCCTAGAAAGTCAACATAGAGACTGCCATAAAAATCAATACATGTGTCATCACAAAGTAACCAAAGAAAGAAAGGGGCATTCCACACTGCAAAAAACAAAAGAAAACAAAAAAACACGTTCTAAATTTAGTCTGCAAAAGTATCTCTACAGTGACAAAGAAAAGAAAAACTCCTCTAATTTCTTTAATTTTTAAAAATAGAATTCAATAAGTAACAATTGTTTGTGACTAAAGATTTTTAAAGAAAAAATTTAGCCACTAAAAGAAATTCCCGTCATATTACGCTCAAGTTTTGAAACAATGTTAAAATAGAGTTCAGTTTCCATTGTAGAAAAGATAACTAGGACCCTAAAGAAATAAATCCTGAAAATGAGACAGTATAATTCTTGATAAGGAAGATTTCTTTTAAAAAAGCTAAAAACTCATTACTCACATTTAAGGCTGTTCAAGTTTAGGTAAGATTGAACAAGGAAGAAGGTGACAAACTAGCTGATGTAACTAATTATAAATGTTTTACCTGGATGATAAATACTTTGAGTTGGAAAGAGTCAAGAGAATGGTGTAAATATAAGCTAAGTGGTCACATCAGTTTGTAAGCAAACAGAAAAAGGCATATAAAGGAAACCAATTAACACTAGCGTTGTTCTGCTGTCTTACAGCCCGACAAAGAACCAAATGCTCTTGTTGGAAAGCAAAAACCTGAAGATATCTTTAAATAAAGCAAAGTCAAGAAAAAAACAAATCTTGTTATTTCTTAACTAGTCAAATCAGAATTTAGAGAAAGGCAAAGAGAAATTTAAATATTATATTGTTATCCAAGGAGAAGGAATGGCTAACCTAAAAATGAATTTTAAATTTTTAGATATTTATCATACAAAAGAATAAACACAGCCTATCAATGAATGTGTACAAGGATTCCACTTTTTTTTTTTTCTTTTTTTGAGGAAGATCAGCCCTGAGCTAACATCCATGCTAATCCTCCTCTTTTTGCTGAGGAAGACCAGCTCTGAGCTAACATCTATTGCCAATCCTCCTCCTTTTTTTTTTCCCAAAGCCCCAGTAGATAGTTGTATGTCATAGTTGCACATCCTTCTAGTTGCTGTACATGGGACGTGGCCTCAGCATGGCCGGAGAAGCGGTGCGTCGGTGCGCGCCCGGGATCCGAACCCGGGCCGCCAGCAGCGGAGCGCGAGCACTTAACCGCTAAGCCACGGGGCCGGCCCCTAGGATTCCACTTTTAAAGCTTGAGCTCATTTATGAAAATTTTACGACCTCAGTTATAACACAAATATCAAATTTCAGGCAAACATAGTCAATTCCTTTAAAGGTAAATAAGGATGAATTAAGACGATCTAGACAAACAACTGGTAGTACTAGTTGAAGCAAAATAGAAAGGTTAGGCGTTGTACCAGCATTTTATACAGAACTAAGCAGCCTTCAGTCTTCGTGTAACTGTCTTGCGTTGGACGTCACTTCTGCACAGACCGCCAAGTAGCAAACAGTTGTGCCACCTAATGATGTGAATACCAAGCACTAAGGAAAACGCAAATTCCCCTGGAATTGAAAGATGAATGCCGGAATCGGTGCAAATGCTCAACTAGGGGAGAAATTCCAAAACTCAGAATCCAAGTATATGTGTCGATTTTCTGGCTGAATACCACCAACAATCTGTCCCTAAACCCAAAGGCTATGTTTAGTACATTGTACACGAAATAAATTCATTAGATTCTACAGCATTCAAGGTAAGTTGTTACAACATTAGAGACCTTTAGCATGATAAAAAGAACAAAGTTTTTAATCATGTAAACCAACACAGTGCCATTTAGCTTCAAGAAAGAGTATTGGACTGTGAACTGGAAAAAACTGGTTTCTTGACCCCACTCTTGTGCTTGCTGGCCGTGTGACCTTGGGCAAGTCACTTAAACTCTCTAAGACTCTGTAAAATTAAACAACACCTGCTTTAGCTATTTCGTAGAGCTACTGTCAGGATCAAACAATATCTACTAGTGCTTTGAACACTGAAACACACCATATAAGTGAAACTGAAAGCAGGCACTTTACAAAGGCCATGTTTACACCTTGCGTTAGACTACAGAAAATAAAACGCCTAAGAAAAACTACAGCCAGAAAAGGTTAAGAGCATGGTGATCAATAAATGCTATTATTATTATTATTAAATATTTCTCAGAAACACGAAAGAAGTTTATATTACAGAAGAGTTCACTAACCAAATGGAGACTCAATGTCAATGCCACTTCGCTTGGGCTAATCTATCCTGGAAAGAAGAAGTATAATATTGGCATGTGCCAAAAATGACTTCACTTGACCAATACTCTCTAGTCATCAAAGTTCAATCTGAAACCCATGAAAAATGGTAAAAACAAAACAAAAATAAAATAAAACTATTAGAGTGTTCACAAAACATGAACTGACAACATGTGCTTGGATCCCTTTAGTAGTCCAGGGCCATATAAGAATATGCAAACATGCCAACATCCTATGAAACTCCTACTAGATTTTTATAGGCCAAGAACTCAGGGAAGACTGACTCATGACCTTTTCCTCTTTTATTAGCTAGTGCCATAAATGTAACTTCACTAAGCATTTATTACATTCTTAATAGTATCTAGAGATACCTAGCTAATATTCAATCTTGCAAAAATTTTGTTGTTCAGTCATTTATATATTAGCACCACTAAAAACCAATAATTATTACACTTCAAATGTATAAGTATAATCTACGTCCAGTTAAAAAGCAAAATCTTTTAGATTCTTTCAAGATTGACTATTAAGCAGATAATACATATGCTAAAATGGACTACAGGTTATATCTAAATATAAATAGATAAAATACTCTGCATAGAGAGTAATTCATATTTGTTATTATGTAGGGTATTGTTATGGTTTTATTGTGAAGGATTACAATTTTTTAGCTTAAGTAAATCTGCAGAAATTGGAAACCTTTTATTTACTGATACAAGCTAAAGCACAGCGAATGAAGGAAGCACATAACATAAACGAATGAGAGTAAGCAACAGCAGTGTAAAACAGGACCCTCGTTACTGAATACATGCGCTGGCTAGTCTGCTCCAGTGAAGACTTTGTGGGAGACACACCCACAGAATGCTGCTTGATTCACCAGAGTACTTAGCCAAAATTTTGTGACTTAAAATATTTTCTTATTGTTGTCTTCTTTCTCCATTGAACAAAATAAGTGTCTCAACTCCTTGCTCTACCTATTTTGTCTGCCTCAAAAAAATGATCAGAGGAGAAATCTAAAACTGCTCTTAAAAAATAAAGTATACTATCTTTAAAAAACGATCAGGGAGAGGGGCCGCCCCTGTAGCGCAAGCAGTTAAGTGCACACGCTCCGCTGTGGCGGCCCAGGGTTCGC